ATGGGGTTACACAGAGAAAACCAAGTGCTGTAAACCAGAGAAAAAGCAAAATGCCTCCTACTTTCAACCTGCAGCCTCCAGCTAACAGGCCTAAGCTTGGCTGGGGTGAAGGGGCCTCTTCTGGAATTCAGTTCTTGGCCAGAAATCCCTGCCTTAGACCTCAGAAGGTTTGAGGAAGGCTTAGCAAACCTGGCGGCTGCTCTTTGGGTTTGGCAAACTCAAGATTTTTCCAGCGCCTTGTGTTCAGTGAAACCGACAATGTGTTTGGCTAGAAACCCTTCTCTAGTTTTAAAATCCCTTTGCATTTTTTACATAAATTTGATCCACATGTTTTTGATTTATTTATATTTAACTCATCAAATCAAATTTGGAGCTACAATGATGAATGGGAACAACGCTGATTTCCAAGAAGATTTTTGAGCCCTTTTTCTTAGAACTAAATCACATTTTCCCCTCAACCCTTAAAACTGGTTCGAAGCCCTGGTTACTCTTCATTAGAGTATTTAAATGAATTAATGTGGCCTTCTAGGCTACCAACAGAAGCCCCCTACCAGTTTACCTTTGAAATAATTTTATCACCGCCACTGAGAAAAAAGGGGTTCCTGTCACAAAAGCTAGGGATGTGGAGAATGGGCGGGAGGTTTCCCTGGACCCATCTTTCTTCTCCTGTACTCTTCCCACAGCAGCCAATTCAAGCTGGTTCTCCTCTTCCCTTCTCTCTCCCCTCCCTGCCTAGCTTTGGCCAAGGCTTCTCCATCTGGAAGCATTTAAGTGTACGATGATTTTACTCTTGTGCAAGGGAATCTTGGGGTATATACTACATATCCATTAAGCTAAATTATAGGTGCACAACCTTATTCTACACAATTCTGTCTGGCCTCGGTTTGCAAGCACAAATGGCCATTACTGTGTTTCCCAAATACTTTTTCTAATACACCATCATTTTCTACAACTTCAGTCTGAGGTCAGCAATATTTGTTTGAAAAGCCGTGGCCACTGAGGTCCTGAGACAAAGGTGCCTCCTCACAGCCCTTTGAACCTGTACTCAGTGGGTCCATTGCACTCTCTTCTACAGACCCTGATCTACTTAGAGAGACCTGGGCGCAAGAACCAGCTGCTACTTAATAGCTGTACTAACTTGGGAGAGTTATTTCACTTCCCTGGGTCTCCACTTCCCAATCTTTCAAAAGGATATAATGACCATATGTATCTCCCAGAGTTGTAAGGATTAAAAGAGATGCTGTGAATAATAAGTTTAGTATATTGTCTGGTCCATGTTGTTGTTGTTGTTAGGTTCTGTTGAGTCAGTTCTGACTCATAGCAACCCTATGTGCAACAGGACGAAACACTGTCTGGTCCTGCGCCATCCTCACAATTGTTGCTATGTTTGAGCCCATTGTTGCAGCCACTGTGTCAATCCATTTCGTTGAGGGTGTTCCTTTTTTTTGCTGACCCTCTACTTTACCAAGCATGTTGTCCTTCTCCAGGGAATGGTCCCTCCTGATAACATGAACAAAGTACGTAAAACCAAGTTCACCATCCTCCTTTCTAAGGAGCACCCTGGCTGTACTTCTTCCAAGTATTTAATAAATGTTTGTTGTTATTGTTATTATTATAAAAATTTCCACACCTTATTCAACTCCATAACTTTTCTGACAGCAAACAAAACTTTCCAGAAGTTGCCAATTACCTTCTAAATCCTCCCCTCCCCAGCCAATGCTGAACCAATCAACTCACTTCCCAGCAAACCAGCATTATTCCAGTTCAGAGATATGAGGTACCTGATCAACCAACTGAGATACTTCCCCAGTCTCCAAGGAGTCACCTGCCCAGGCCCAAGTTTTAAACCTATAGCTTCTTCTTGGGATCGACACTAGCAAAGCAATGAGAAGATCTAAAATCTAACTGAAAATCTTCACAACTGGACCAATAAACAACATCATGAAAAAAACTGAAACTGTCAAGGATTTCATTCTACTTGGATCAACATCAACGTTTATGCAAGCAGCAGTCAAGAAAGCAAATGACGTACTGCATTGGGAAAATCCGCCGCAAAAGACTTCTTTAAAGATTTAAGAAGCAAAGATATCACTATGATGACTAAGGTGCGCCTGATGCGAGCCATGGTCATTTCAACTGCCTCATATGCATGTGAAACCCGGACAATGAAAAAAGAAGACAGAAGAATAATTATGCATTTGAGTTGTGGTGCTGGGAAAGAATATTGAGTATACTGTGGACTGCCAAAAGAATGAACAAATCAGTCTTAAAAGAAATACAATCAGAATACTCCTTAGAAGCAAGGATGGCGAGACTTTGTCTTGCTTACTTTGGACACATCATCAGGAAAGAACAACTGCTTGAAAAGAACATTATGTCTGGTAAACTAGAAGGTCAGTGAAAAGGAAGAAAATCCTCAGTGAGATGGACTGATACAATAGCATCAACAGTGGGCTCAAACATAAACATCATGGCGACAGCACAGGACCCAGCGGCATTTTGTTCTGATATGCATAAGGTTGTCATGAGTCGGAGCCGTCTCCATGGCAACTGACAACAACAACAAAATCTGACTGATCACGTAGATCATTCTCCTCCAAACCAAACTGAGCTTCTTCTCACTTTATACAGAAGGTATATGCATGTGTATATGGGGGAGGGAGGTGAGAAAGTTTACTCTGTTTTGAGGAGGAAACTGGTTAGTGTTTCTAAGACCCCCAGGGACTTGAGACACTTTACCAGTCCTTTTGCAAAGCAGAAAGGTGAAGCTGTCACTTAACATGTCTGATAAACGCCTCTCTTCCAAGAGGGGAAATATAAGTCCACGTGTCCAGACACAAGCCCTGTGCTCAGTGAAACACAAAGAAAAGAGAGTCCGAGGTCTGAGGTACATCTCTCTGGCCAGGGTTAGTCTCAGCAGTGATTCACAGATCTTACGGTTGGCCAGATTAGTGGGGCGAGGGATTCACTGGCTTCTGATGGGATCTTGGACACGTTAGGCAGTAATGGCCCTTACCATGCAGAATTGCTATGAAAGTTAAAAGAGAGAATATTTGTAGGCGCTCAATGAATTATTATTTCCATCAAACAGATCTTACTTGAAATCCTGGGTGATATCAGGAAACGTGTCTTCCATGCCTAATACTTAGTACAGATTTCTCTCTCAATGGTCTCTTAATCCCCTGTATCTAGATGTATTTTGGATGCCAGCCCTAAATCTAAAGGACAGCGCTGCCAAAGGGGTGCGCTGAGGTGGCTGTTTGTGCCTATAGATGGTTCTGGAGTAGACACATGATCTGAAGGGAAAATCCATAGGCTGGAAGTCACTTGTGGCCTGGTATAAAGGTGAGTGGGGCCAGTCAGGCTCCTGTCCAGGAATCTGGAATTAGCAAAGTCAGAAACTGGGCTGACCGGCAGCACAGACATCTGGAATGTGGCTGGCTACATTAATGGTAGAAACACCCTCATGGAGGCTGACTGACTCCTGCTGCTGAGGCCCTCCAGGGTTGCCTCAGTTTCAGAACCTCTCTCCCATAAAGCCTGGCTGTTATGCTCATGGACACCATAAATATCTCTTCCAACATGATTAAAATAAATATCTCCTTTTTTTTTTTTGAGTTTGCTTGAGTGGGTTTCAGTTTTCTCCAATCAAAAAGAGTCTTCACTAACACAGCATCTACCCTTGGGAAGAACTTGCAGATGGAGCTATGTCTACATGTTCTGAGCATTTCTACTGTAAGGTATTGTTCTAACAGTTAATTACAGAATATGGAGGATACCTAGGTTCCTAATTCACTCTTTGATGGCTCTCCTCTATTACAGAAATTGGAAAAGTTAAGCTCGCTCTCCCTCCCACCCTCCCTTGTGGCTAGGGAAGGTCATGTGACACAGTTTTGGCCAATGAGATGGAAGTCAGTATCTGTTGGGGCAAATAAGATGGCCCTGCCCCCTCCTTCCTGCCTTGAATGAAAATTACTACCATCTTGTAACCATGAAGGAAAAGTCAAAAAAAAATGCAGAGATACACCGCACATCTGAGGTGCTAAACCAACATTAGCAATCACCTAATTCCAGTCTTCTTGTTATGTGAGTAAAATATACCCCTAAACTGCTATTAGTTAGATTTTTCTATTACTTGGAAGTAAAATCTTTTCTAAATGATATACCCTAAAAAGGCACCTAGACCTTGATATTGTTTCCTGTGTTGTGAGAAACATGACAATTTTTTTTCACCAAGTATATCATCAACTTGTTTTTAAATTAATTTTTCTAAAAAGCAACTGAGTGGTATAAGCTCTTGAGGCAACTAAAATCTAACAAGGGGATAAGGCATATACATGAATAACTGTGAATAAGGCAGGAACCACAAGGGTTGTAAGAAGAGGGCAAGAATTCCAGTTGGGGAAGTGGGAAATCAGGGAAGTCTCCACAGGAGAAGTATTCGAGCTGAACTGGAGAAAAAGAGGAATTTGGATGTTTGTAGATGGAGAAGAAGTGTATTCTAGGTAGAAAGAATACTTTAACCAAATATGAGAAACTGAAGGTCAAATACAGGAAGCAGTATGTTCATTCAGGCTGGTGCTGGAGAACAAAGGCCAGATTGGAAAATGAGACCAAATTATAACAAGCCTTGAATGCCAGGTGAAGGAGTCTGGCTCTATTCTCCAGGCCGTGGGATACCGTTAAAGGTTTTTGAGCAGACAGGAGTCAGAGTGGTTCTTCAGGAAAATTCACCTGATAGCAATATGTGGGGTGTATTGGAGGAGGCTGGGAAAGCCACTAAGAGGCTATGCAGGTGTGTGGACAAGAGGTGACGAGGGTATGAACCAGGATAGTCATGGTGAAAATGGAGTGGAAAGAAGAAATAGGCATGAAAGACACTGCACAAGTACATGTAACACAACTTGGCTACTGTCTGGATATGGGGTGTGTGTCATGTGGAGGAATAATGCAGAAAATATTTTATTGTACAAAATATAAACAAAATCCTTATATGGTACCTCTGGAGCTGAAGACAGGAATGGTTTTATGTAGATGTTGGAGTCATGCACCTTCAGGTCATGGTCCCCAAGTCCCCTGGTCACTCCAATTGTTGCCATTACTCGGGCCTAGGAGTATAAGCAGAGGGTCATCAGAAACAATCCCACATACTGAGAAAAAGTCCCTGTCACAATACAGCTGCTGAGGGCTAAATTTTCCAGTTCTTCCCGCCAGTCTTTCCATGCCGCTTTCTGCTAACTTATGTGGGTAGCTGTTACCAAGGAAGGGCTCACCAAAATCATTTAAGTTTTTGAGGAGTAATTTGAGGAATAATTTTTCTACCAATTATCTTAAGCTTCATGGGTTTCTGTTGTCTCTCTTCAGGTTTCTTTTCTTACAGACTAGAGCGAAGGGTGTCCAATACACTAAAGCCAATACATGAGTGATGGCTATAGCTACTGAAAGTAGTTCAAATCAAATCCAAAGGCATTCATCCATCTATCCATCCATTTATCTACCCACCTATCCATCCATCCATCCATCCAACCACCCACCCACGCACCCATCCATCCATCCATCCATCCATCTACCCACCTATCCATCCATCCATCCATCTACCCACCCATCCACCCATCCACCCATCCACCCAACCACCCATCCATCTATCTACCCACCTATCCATCCATCCCACGTCCACTCTACAGGTATTTATTAAACACCAGCGATATCCCTAGTTAGGTGACGGGCACTAGTAAAAGATGTAAAAAGCCAGAGACAGCTCCTGCCCTCGCAAAGCTCATCTATTATACTTTATGGCTGGAGAACATCTGTAACCTGTCCTGCTAGAATTCTCACAAATTCCCTCTAGGTGGAAAGGGACAAAACACCACTAGCACCGGGGGCTGAGACCGCACTATCTGTGCACTTCTCTGAACTGTTCTGCAATTGTTTTAAGGAAGCGATACTATCATACTAATGTTTAGAAAGTCAGCCTGATTATCTCCCGGGGTATTTAGGTTTGAGAAGAGGGTTGCTTATATGATGGATTGATTTACTCAAACATTTACTGAGTACCTACTGTGAGCAGACATCATGCTGTGAGAGACAAATGTGTAAGGCCTCGTCCCTATTTTAAAGGAACGTGATCAGGGAGATAAGAGGTGTGTATTTAACTAATAACATATAAAATATGGTCAAGTGCTGAAAGACACAAAAAAATGGGTCATAGGAGTTCAGAGCAGATAAAAACTCTAGAAGGTTTCCTGGAGAAGGTGGCATTATACTTCGTGCAGAAGGATGGACAGAAAAAGACAGGCAGACCCAGAAGGATGGAGAGAAAGTCATTTGGGGTGGGAATGAAGCCCAACGGCCTAACTCAGCAATAATATAACCAGCGTAGAGTCATAGTTGAAAGACCCTAGCTTAAACCCTTACTCTACCTATTGCTTAGGTATAAGACTACCCACAGGCTATGCAATAAGAGTACTTCATAGGGCTGAGGATGAAATAAATAAATGCTAAGAAACATTTCCTAATCTAATAATTATCATCATCTTCATCCCATTCTCGCAAAAGGCTGTGAATTTTGGAGCTTGTCCCAGGTGAGAAGAGTTTACATTAAAGGGTAAGTAAAACCATGACACATTTTTTAAAGGCAAGAGTCAAAAGAGATTGGTAAAATGCAGACACGTGACATGAAGCCTGGGGATCTTTGGTCAGGCAGGCTGCAGAGAAGGCCTCTGCTTGGTGGAAGGCTGGATGGGCTCCCTCTGACTAAAGAAGTGTTCAATTCTAAATGGAAAAACCCTGGGTCCCTTGTGACCCTTCTGTTCTTCTCCCTGCCAACAGCAGCTTTTCTAGCTGGAAAAATCACACGCCTTTATTTTAGTCCAAAGAAATCTGATGTTTCTGCTAGTTAGTGAACTTGCTTTACAAAGTATACAAGTGTTATGCACCCATGTCTTTAAAAGTACTTGTGGAAATAAAATGAAAAGCAATGGCTATAAAGTACTCCTAACACTTCTGGGTGGATGTATGCAGAGAGGAAAAAGAAAACCCCTGTAAATGATCTAGACAGAACTGATGTTCTTCCTAACGCTGCAGTTTTAAAGATTTCTCAAGACATCATGAAGTTATCAGACAGGGATGGTGTGCTACTTTGGTACCGGGCAAGCCTACCAATAAAAGCTAACTGGAGAAACAGTGGCTTTAAATGGGTTGACAGGTACAATGACAGAACCTGCCAGCTGTATATCACGGGACCGTCAAGCCTTAATGAACTGACATGCTTGAGGAACACGATGCTCTGGTGAACTGAACTTTTTGCTTAACTGGGAAAACCCATGCTCCTTTAAGTATTATTGCTGATAATCTTCTAAAAATATATTATTAGTCCATTTTCCGGTTGTACTAAGGAGAGTATACTGAACGTAACTGAATAGCTTATTTAATACCTGTGCATTTATTAAAGGTCTGCTATGGTCGGGGAAACCCTGGTGGCGTGCTGGTTAACAGCTAAGGCTGTTAACCAAAAGGTCGGCAGTTTGAATCCACCAGGTGCTCCTTGGAAACTCTATGGGGCAGTTCTACTCTGTCCTACAGGGTTGCTATGAGTCACAATTGACTTGATGGCAACGGGTAATGGGTATGGGTCAGGTACCAGGCTGGACAGGTACTGGGGATGAAAGGTAACAGGACAATCCTGAGCTTACTAGAACCCACTGGATATAGCAGGGTAATACTGAGAATTTCAGCCCCACAAAGAACTGCAGCTGCAGGTACAGGTAATTGGGCTGAACGACACATACTAATGGTGTCCGCTGTTCTCAAAGACACACATATTCCTGTTAGGAACTATGTTCATCTTTGTAGTGATTCTCAACCAGAGATGGTGAGGCAGAAGGTGTCCATCTCCACGAAACAGGCAAGTTGATTTAAAATTTGACCCCCATATGGATCAGATATACATGCTTCCTTTCCCTCCATGAAATGCTTCCTTCCATTGAAATCACTGCTGGGCTACACTGAGTCCAAAACCTAATCCTGCAGGCATGCTCTCTCCCACATAAATACATTTACTTAAACACACCCACCCACCCACACACCCACACACATACACACACGCACACACACACTCAAGTCCTGCCCATGATGACATCCTTCAGTTTTCTTATACGTCACTTCTTTATGGTAAAAAATGGTAAAATGCTGAAAAAAAAATTCAGTTGAAGATTCTTTGTTATGTGACCACATTTTCTCACTTCTAATTGAAGCTCTTAACACTGAGTTAAAATGCTATTAGTGTTCAGAGGAAGAATGCAATGATTCAGAAGGTGTATGACCTTACTGGGAAATGGATTCAAAGCTTCCTTCTCTCCCTTCAGGATTTCACCCTCCCCCAAGTGTCTGCTCACAGACCACTCTAAGATCTTCTCTTTCCTTAGGTTCAACAATGTGCTGCTGAGTGTTTGATTCTGACCGGGGTCCTGGGAGGTGATGACAGTCTTTGCTACCTCAGCCTAGGCGCTTTGTGATGTGTAAGTAATAAATTAGAAGTGATCCCATTGCTAATTACAATGAAGTTTTGAATCTCCTCCCATGGGTCCAGCGGAAAAGCAGATTTGTGAAGTCTCCACTTGCATGACAGAGTGCCAGAGCACTAGACGAGACTGGACACGGCTCCAGGTCTGGCGCTGCCACTCGTTAGCTGTGTGACTTTACCTGAGATGCTTTAACCTTGAAGTCCCAGCTGCCTTGTCTTCTAAATGGACTAACATGGCCAGCTTTGCCTGCCTCCCAACTTGTTAGCAGATAGAAAATAAGATGATTTATGTGGAAGTGGTCATGTTTAAACACTGCAAAATGCTATTCAAACAGATTGGAAAGGGGGGGTGTTATTTCCACAAAATTGACTTTAGTCCCTTGTGTTCCTCCTCACCCAGCCCTGTCCGTCCTTGGACCCTCGAGACAGGAGGGCCTGAAGGATAATGGATGTGATATTCTTTTAAGCTGTCAAAGCTATAAAATCGCGAGCTGCTGAGTAGAACACACAGACCGCCACAGGTTATTTGGAGCGGCAACGGAGTAGAGTTTTGTCACTGCAGCCCAAGGAAAACACGTGCCTACCTTCTTGCCTTCTCCATATATAAGGGGAAACTTCAAGTCATCATCCTCAATGGTTTTGTATGCCCTGTAGGGGGATAAACAACATTTTTAAAAAATGGTATGCACTCAATTAGTGACCCGCTGCCCTGACACAGGACGCTAGGCACGTTATTTTCCAAGACTACATCCACTCATCACACTGCCGATCTTTCTTTATATACAGTTATTCTCCCTACAGAATTGTGTGTGTGTGTGTGTATTTTAGTAAACCAGAAGATACCATGTCTATATATACTCGAAGAGAGAGACAATATGTTAGGATATTCATAATTAGCAAGGAGGGGACATGGGCTTCTGTCCTAAGCGTTGAGTGTTTGTACAGTAATGAAGTGCCCCAGCAGCAGTGACTGGGTTCTCGTTGTTAACCCGGAACTGTGAGAAACAGTACAGCTCAGAGATGGATGGAGTGTGAAACTGCTCCAAGAGCAGTTCTCACCTTTAGGGGTTGTTTACACCAAAGCAAAACTTGGATTGGGAGTGCTGGAGAAGGAATATTTAGAGCCTGTTTGACCTCAGTATGACTGTCAAGGTTGGCAGGAAAGTCTCTGTTTTATAATAGCTTTTAAATGGCCATTCGACACACAGAAAGAAAATTCAGTTTATGCTTCAATGGTTTATCCTGGACATGGTTGTCCAGCTGCCACTATGCACACAGCTGAAGCTGGCAAGGTTAAGAAGACAAAGCAAATGAAGTCCATTTCTTGCAGTTCTGCTCATGAGAAAGTTAAAAAACAAAAACAAACAAACATAGCATTTTATCACTAGCTGTACACCCTGGGCAAGTAGCTTCAATTTTCTTGGTCTCAATTTTCTCATTTATAAAATAAGGACAACCATACAGGATGCAAAGAGCTTAGCACAGAGCCTGGCACTTAGTAACTGCTCCAGGGTCACTATGAGTCAGAACAGACTCGATGGCAAAGGGTTTTTGGTTTGGTTTATTGCTAGTATTTAGTGGATAATTAATACTTTGGCATGCCAGTTCCCCTTTCTGGGGATAGCACTGCCTATTTACCACATTGCTGATCTTTCTTTACACAGAGTTATTTTCCCTGCAGAATTGTATGTGTGTTTGAGTAAACCAGAAAATACCAAATCTTTATATGCTTGAAGATGGAGAAAATATGTTGGCATATTCATAATTAGCAATAAGGGGAGATGGATTTCTGTCCTAAGCGTTTAATTTCTGTGCAGCCATGAAGTACCACTGCAGCAGCAGAAGTATTAGGAAGACTAAGTAAAAGATGGAGTAGGTTCTGCTGGGTTAGGTGCTAGAAGTGAGTAAGATGCTTTTCTAAAATAATGTCTCCTGAGTGCGTGGAAAAGACTAATTTATTAAACGGCCTCCCACTCTGGGACATACCCAGGCAACACGGGAGTGAGTGGGCAATCAAATGTGTGGAAGCTCTTGATATACAAAAGAATGTAACCCAATTTAAAAAGAGTTCAACCCCGCAGCTAAAGAAGTCATGCCCTTATTTTCCAGGATGGTTATTTAGATAAGTTGTTCCCTCCCAGGGTCTACAGAATCAGTGACATTCTAGCACCAGATGTGGCCAGGCTGGGCTTGAATTCAGCATCGCTATCTGTATAGCTTTGGGCAAGTAGATGAGCTTCTTTGGACTCCAGGATCCTCAACAATCAATTATGGCAAAACCTGTTGCTCACTCGTGGGGTTGTTCTGAGAATTAAAATGGGATAGTAAATGTGAAGAGCTTAGTACACATTTAGCACAGAGCCTGGCACATGCTGAGCGTTCAGTAAACGCTAGCTGCTGCTGCTGCTAAGTGAGCCTAGAGGTATTCTTGGAACAAAACTTTCAGAAAAGGAACTACTATTTCCTTGCCCTAAATCTACGAAATTAACACAGGGTGGATATAGCCACTTTGATGTTTTTATACTCACATGAATTTTTTTAAACACTGTGGTAGACAACTGGGAATCAAATAAAGCTATTATTAGAATAGTGACTACAGGGTTTAAAATTAAGTTTACCCAAAGTATTTGGTCTTTGTCCTTGGTTTCTGAGAGATAACCTCTAAAACCTTGGAAATTTCCCAGTAATTAAAGTGCCTTTGATGAAGCCTCCAGCTCACACCTGAGAGTTTATGCTAATGAAGTGACTTAGGTAGGGGCTAGCCAAGATCACCTTGTGATCTTTCTACCTCTGGGGACGTGGGCTGATTCAATCAATAATGACTGCGTAAAAGGCCCTAATAAAGGCTCTGGACATGAAAGCTCCATGGGCTTCCTGGTTGATGAAAGAGAACAATGCATGGGAGGATACTGTATCCCTTTACTGGACATGAAAAGCTTCACGTTGGGAGCCCTCCCAGACCTTGCCCTGTGCGTCTTTTCATTTTTAATCTTTTTATGCTATAATAAAACTGTAGTCATAAAAGTATAGTACTTTCTGTGAGTTCTGTGAGTCGTTTTAGTGAATTATCAAACTCGAGGGAGTAGTGGGGGCTAGCAGGTCAGAAGTGAAGAGGGCTGGAGACCACTGAGCTTATAGCTGTTATCCTAAGGGGGTAAAGGGAACCCCTGAATTTGTAGCCAGCAGCTCACAAGTAAGGGTGTCGTGGGTATGCTCACACTTGTGGCTGGCATCTGAGGTCTTGGGCAGACTTTCAGTCTGCAGGACTGTGACCTTTAACTTGTGAGGTCTGACCTAAAGCTCTGGGTGGTTAGGGTCAGAGGAAGAAGTGCTGCAAGTGAAGCCGGTGTCAGAACAGAAGTGGAACAGAGGGGAAGAGAGTTGATAATAAATTGATTTGGACTGATCAACACAATTTGGTGTCAAGAGAAGTGAAAAGTGGGGATTTGATATATACTCTCACAGACCTAGCCTGGGGATTGAAGGAATTTTTAGACCAGTGGTTCTCAACCACGACTGCATATTGAATCCACTGAGAGGGCTTAAAAAAAATCCAGTGCCCAGGCAACACTTCAGAACAATTAAATCTGAATTTCTGGGGGTAGGCCCCTGGCATCTATAGGTGTTTAAAGCTTCCCTGGTGATTTCAATGGACACTCAAGGTTGAGAACCACTGTTGGACACCAAACTCCCATTAACTAACATTCAAAGTCAGTTGAGCAATCAACCCTAATCAGCTTGACCCTGAAGATGGCAGACCTGGCTCAAGGGAGGGAGGGAAATGACCTAAGAAACGCCCTGAAACAGGCGTGAGCAGGGTTTGAGGACAGTAGAGAGGTAATGTGGAGAGTGAGAAGACAGGCCCAGACAGAGAGAAAGGAAGGAACAAGAACTGTAATTAGAGAGAGGGTGGGGTTTTGAGACCAGGTGCAGGAGTCTGGAATTAAATGGGAGGCAAAGGCAGCAGTTCTAGAAATCAATGACTGGAAACTACTGAGAGCTCCACAGCATGGAGAAGGCTAAGAGCACCCTTAAAAGGCTTGAAAGGCAGTAGGAACACTGCTCTCTGACTCAACCACAAGCCCAAGGAATCGAATTCTCTCATGGCAGAGAATTTCAGGAGCTTGAAATCTATGTTACCACAGCTCTGAAAGACAAACACTCATCCTGGAGTCGGCACCCACAGGACCAAGACAATTGCAAATTCTAATATACTTTAGCTTCTTTTTTTTTTTTTTCCTTAAAAAAAAAAAAACCTTGGGGAACAACCAAAAATTTAAAATATAAAGTTTACAAAAAGGAAGGTTTATTCTCTTCCTGCCATTATTAGTTTTCAATCAACTATGAGTCCTCCCCTCTCCCACCACTAACAAGTAAGTAGTTTAGAGCTGGTATGACAAGTGTGAATACATACAAATACGAACAGAAAGTACAACACCCTCTCCCTCTCAATCTCTCTGGATTTTAAGCACATTGCATCATATAAAAGCAGGTGAACTTACCTCCACAGTTAAAGTCTTGAATGATACAGTATAAAAACACTTCAGAGTTAAAACTGGCAACTTGACTGAAGTCTACATAAATGAATGATAGGTAATAATAATTACAGCAGCTATGAGCTACTAAACACTTTCTACATGCCAGACACTGGACCTGGTGCTTACTGACAGTGTTTAAAATCTCTACCAAGACCCTGCAATGTCCCATCTTATAGATGAGGAAACTGAGGCTCAGAGAGGTGAAGTTACTTTCCCAAGATGATTAAGTTTAGTGGCTGTAAGGCTGGATTATTCAGACTTTCCCAGAAAATGCACCAAAAATGTGATATTAGGACTCAGATCTGGGGATTTCCAATTCTAGCTGAAGAGTCGAAAATCAGACCATTATTGTCCACCTCTCACTGGGTGAAACACAGAAATGTGATGACGAAAAATAGACTTTTCGTGGAAGGGAATTTTCTGAGTGACAAAAAAAGTAAGGTGACCACATGGGGATAAAACCAGTGGTTGTTCTACTATGGTTCACAGAGAAGATGAACAGGACATCAGAGGACATGACAGTCCTGTGTTCTCAGACCTGCCACTGCTTCCTGGGACATTTACCTGTGGCCACAGTCTGACAGAGCCCTCTCCCCAGGCAGCAGGCCTCCCTCAAATCTGTTATCACAGCTTAAGGGGGCCACCCCAGTTTCTGCAGACTTGCAAAGCCTGTCTGCTGTTCTTACTACAGTCCATGTCTAGGCTGCAAGCTTGAAACTATGCTTCCAGCTCATCTGTGGCTGCATCCTTCTTGGTTCGGGGAGGTGACAGGATAAGGAGAGAGGTTTGAAGCTTGAGAGCTCCAAAAAATGGGGGTACTTGGGATCTGAGATTAAAAGAAAAAGGTCTAGTTAGAGAACCATCTCCCTCATTCCAGATCCAATGACTTTGGAAACCCTGATGGAATTAAAAACAAAATAACACTCCAAAAAACAGATTCTTCACTAGTTTTACAATAATATAACTGACAAGAGTATATAGTCAAACCTCACTTGGTACAAGAAAGCAAAACTGAAAGGCTCAGAAAAGATTTTTAGAATAGCTTATCTTTTGGGTCAATTATTTTATGAATATTTATGAGGCCAATTGACAAACAGATGAGATGAGAAA